ACCTGCCCAGCACGCTCAGAGACGAGTGCGCCGGGTGGGGCGGCAGTGACCAAGGTGACGGCTGTGACATGGGGAAGGTTCCACAATAGCACCTGTGCTGCTGGGAGTGGCGTTCCGCACGGGATGAGGAGGGGGCTGCAGGGCACGGGACGGCGGCTAGAAGGCGCTCCCTGTGCCCAGCGGGCAGCCCTTCTCTGCGGCCAGCAACAGGGCACAGAGGAGCCGGAGCCGAGGAAAGGGCCCGCAGCCTCCTTCGCCCTCTGCACGTCACATACAGGCGGTTCATCACCAGGGCACTGACGTTGCATTTCCTGAACATGCAGCGTTTGGGACGCTGCCTTACTCCTGTGTTTGCATCAAATGCAACACGGAGGGAATCGCGCAGTGATTTCCCATTTCTAATGAAATAAAAGTGGTGAAGCAACAACTGATGTTTTCAGAATTGCTGTCACGGTTATCCTGTAGGCACGGGAATCCAAGCCTCCACGACCTGCTGCTTTAACTGCAGCCACATTTAACTCACCTATTGTGCCACTCACAGTAGGCAGCTCTTGCTTTCCCTCACTCAGAGTACAGAAACATTTCTATTTCTTAAAGTTAAGATATTATTTATAATAAGATTTAATTTATTATAAGGTATTATTTCATATCTTTGAGGCAACAGACCAATCATTGGACCAGTTCCACATGGGTATGAAATATCTGTGCCCACATTGCACTCAGGAGGTGCAGTGTATGAACATTTAAAGCCACACAGCAGATTATGTCCTGCAACAGTGACTTTCCTTCTGCTTATTTATACCACTTCCTTACTGTTTGACTTCTTTCTAATTTGAGGACAGCAAGTCGTCTCACTGACTTAGCAGTTCACAGCAAGCATCATAACTGCTTAAAATTTAATTCCTTTCTTGATTAAACCACACACACACACGCACACACACTTGAAGGTCTACTAGGTCAAACAGTTTAGAAAACCCTCACTTTAAAAGCTTTTGGCAATTTCTGTTGTGCAGCAAAAGGCAGATGTGACGTGTATTTTGGTGTGCTTAAAATAAGAGAACAGAAAAGGCAGCAGAAAAATTCATTCAGCTCGTAGCCGGGTGGAAGAGGACCTTGGCTGACCGTAGTTATGCCCGAGTTGGAGGACTTGCTGGCTGCTCTTGTCTTGGTGTGGATGTGCTGAGCGCAGCAGCTGCAGGAGCTGTTGTTGTGCTGCTGCCCCCTCAGGGCTCGGTTCTGAAGACGTTTTGCAGCTGCCAGTGAACTGCACTGGCCCCACCGTTCTCTGTGGACATGGATGCAGAACCATTCACGCTTCCTCTGACGCCAGACGTGTCAGAAGAAAAGAAAAATCTTTACTTGGTGTTTCTCTCCTCGTTGGAAACCTATTTCAGAATTTGTAAGTCACAAAAGTAAACGTGCAAAAGGTGGTGGTTTGAAGTCGGGCATACATGTAGCCACATTTTCTACTTCACACACAAAAGGCAGCTTAGCTGCACTCTGTAAAAATGCTTCAGTCCAAGAACTGCTATCAGCTGCACAGCTTTGACGTTACAAAGAAAAGTTATTCACCAAACAACTTGTCTGCATTCTCTGAACATTGGATGATTGTAAAGAAAAAGCCACCTGCTTGCACTGATGGATTTCCCATTTATTATTTACAACAACTTCAGAGGCAGCATGCCTAACAGTGTCAAGAAGAGATGTGACACAGTGTGGAAAAATTAAGGCTGTGGAAGGGAGAATACATGCCTTCTGTAAACGCTGTCAGATTTTTTTTCCATGCAGGCCATTTGGGATGCAGTACTAAGAACTGTACTCGAGTCTTATTACTAAGCTACACTGCCTTTATCTTTTCAAATAATTACTGCAGCCTGGTTTTCCATCCAGCCTCAGTATCTATCAACTGGGGGGGCCTCTTCAAACCTCACAGAGATGGGAACATGCCTCGGTCATCCTGATGCCCTGTAAAGTATCATCACACCTATGGGGCCTAGAGGGAGGATTCCTTCGTACATGGAAGGGTTTGGGCTGGAAAGGACCTTTAAGATCACCTAGTGCCAACTCCCCTGCTTACAGCAGCTTCTGCTAGACCAGATTGCTCAAAGCCCCATCCAGTCTGACCTTGAATGCTTCCAGGGAGGAAGCATCCACAACCTCTCTGGGCAACCTCTTTCAGTGTGTCACCACCATCATATTTTCTTCCTGATATCGAGTCTAAGATTCATTCTAGTTTCTTCTTGCACCAGCAGCCAGGAAAAGTTGTCCCAGAATTTCCAACAACTGTACACATACACGTACACACAAACACATCATCTCAAATACATATACAGATCTGATGTGAAACTCACCAGTGAACAAGATGTCCCCTGCAGCACCTACCCATGGACATACACACGCTCTCTTGGATCCTTAAGATTGGGCCTAGGCTTTGGGTGCACGCAGGTGCCCTGCCTGGGATCTGAGTTATTACCCTTGTGGCAGCCACAACTCTGAGTCTCTGCAGAGCTTGCTGTCTTCCTCCTCCTTCAGCCATCCCCACCTTGGCCAGCAAAGCATGCAGACATTCAGCCCAAAGACACACAAGAGTGAATGTTATCTGAAACACCATTATCTACATTTTCAAGTTCTGAGATCCTAAGCTTGCTGTGGAGAGCCTGGAAGCTCTGAGCTCTCTCACTCGACCCCACATTGTGGATGTTGAAGTTGGAATTATCAGTCAGAGTCTTAGTTTTGATGTCATCTACCCGCAAAGCCTTTGACGTGGTCCCTCCCCACATCCTTCTCTCTAAATTGGAGAGGTGTGGATTTGAAGGATGGACTGTTCAGTGGATTAAGAATTGGTTGGCTGGTCCCAGCAAAGGGTTGTGATCAATGGTTTGTGTCCGGGTGGAGGCCGCTCACAAGCGGTGTCCCTCAGGGGTCGGTCTTGGGACCGGTGCTCTTCAACATCTTCATCAGTGACAGACGATGGCATCAAGGGCACCTCAGCAAGTTTGCAGATGGCACCAAGCTGAGCGGTGCAGTTGATACATTGGAAGGAAGGGAAGCCATCCAGAGGGAGCTGGACAGGCTGGAGAAGTGGGCCCATGAAAGCATAATGAGGTTCAATAAGGCCAAGTGCAGGGTGCTACACTGGGTCGGGGCAATGCCAGGTATTTATACAAACTGGGGGAAGATCTCCTGGAGAGCAGCCCTGCAGAGAAGGACTTGGGGGTCCTGGTGGACGAGAAGCTGGACATGAGCCAGCAGCGTGATTGCAGCCTGGAAGGCCAGCTGTGTTCTGGGCTGCATTAAAAAAGGGGCGGCCAGCAGGAGAGGGAGGTGATCGTCCCCCAATTAGAAACTGGGCGATAGAAACTAGGCGTGCGTGTGAAGAGAGTGAAGGTGGGCACTGATGCTGGATCCAGGAGGTCCCCTGTTCTGCTACTGAGCTGGCCAAATTCCAGAAGGATTTTGGTCACACCCATAGGAAATCAGAGACAGAGTATGAATGGAAAATGCCACTAATGGGGAGAACAGATCCTGTTAACTGAAAAGGAATCGGAGGGGTTTTGGGGACCCAGAATATCTTTCACCCTGGCAACCACTGTGCCCTGTGGTCCCTTACTCAAAGAGCTGCTTGCTGGGATGGCTTCTCCCCAGGACAACTGGCTGCACATTGGTCCTGTGTCCTTAACCACTTCTTTGCACACAGCTTTCCAGAGCTGTGTCATTAAAAATAAACCTGTGATCCACAGACTTTTCATCTGTGATGCTTTTGAAGTTGTGTTGTGTGAATTTCACGTGGTTCCTGTGTTCTACTGGGGAACCTAACTTTAATTTCATGCCTCTTTTCCCAAAGAAGCACAGCACAGCTGGTGCACCATCTCAACTCTTGCTTTCAACCCCCAGGTTCCAGCAGGTCTGACTCCCAGCTCAGCACATCTCCTGGCTGCTCCTCCTGGAAATGGGCTCTGGCCACCAGCAGCAGCAGGGGAACTTGTCTGTGCCCAGCTGTCACTCAGGCTGCTGCCTCTTATTCGTCTCTTGCTCATTCATTGATCTTGTGTGAAAAGAAAATTCTCCATCGCTCTGCTCCGTTCTGTTTGCAAGCAAGGCAAATTTTTCTGTTTTATTCTTTTGTTTGTTGGTTTGTTGCTGTTACGTTCAAGTGATGCCCTCCTCCCCAGAGCTGGATCAGCCCAGAACTGTTTCCCACTCCTGCACTTCTCTGTTTAACGCACTATACTGCACTTGGTGAATTACCAGATTTTATGCTTTCCAGGTGATTGTGAAGCAATAGCCGTTGTGTCTTGATTTCTCTAGAGACTTATTTCTGTCTAGGGCAGCACACACTGCTAGCCTACAGCAGCTATCATTTCTATTTCTGCACTGAATGAACACTCAGAGTATTTAGGGCCCCGATGTCCCGATCCTGTGGGCTATGGATGCTGTGGCCGTGGAAGTGAGACAGAGTAACTGAAGATGGAGGAGCGTTTCATGAGAGCGAACTGATCAATTGTGTATCTGCAGCTTGTCTCTCCAGCTCACAACCTTTCATGAGTAATGGAAGGTGTGCAAGATGGATGGCAGTTTGTCCCAGTCCTCCTCCTCCTCTCCCTCCCCCCCGCCCCTTGTTCCACCCCTCCCCTACCTCACACCTGGATGCATCTGTCCCTGCCTCCAGGAGACAAAGCTGCTGTGGGCGCCATCCTGCTCGAGCTGCGGGGGACTTGTTTGCACGGTGCTCTGCTTACTGATGCCCTAGCAGCAGGAGAACACAAAGTAAGTCACAGTCTCATTAAACTCCTGCTTAATGAACGTGTTGAAGTACCTTTCTGACTGGAGGAAGAAACACTGAACAATGTTGCTATGATGGTAAGGTAAGTGGATGAGGCGATGGGTGTAGGCGCAGTTTGCGGGACTGGGCAGGCAGAGCACAAGCAGCCATTCCACTGTACAAAAGCTCAAATAGGATTTTATTGTCAGTTTGCAAAACAGATTTGAAAGATCTTTATTTGAAACAGTCACAGGTGATGACTCACCATTGGATAAGCCAATTCCTGTCTACAAAAAGTAGTTAGCCTAGCTAACATTTCTGAAAGCAGTGCAAAAGAGCATGGAGATGTTTTTCTATCTGCTGCAATGAGTAGAGCTGGCTCTGCTGTGTCCTCTGGCAGCAGAATGTTTGCTGCAGATTGGAGATTGCAGGCAGCCCGTGGGGCTGAAGCCAGCTGCTTTGTGAGAGCAAAGCTTTGTCGCCATTCAGGGGGAGGAATTGGAGGTAATGTGGTCTCAGTCCATGCCTAGAATCAGAGAATACAAAGTGGGGGGTAGTTTTAAACCAAACGCACAGATACTTGATCAGATAGCCACTTTTCAGGCATTCCTCTCTCAGATCTGCACCCCCTGATTTCAGCTCTGATGCTGTCTTTGCATGCAGCTGCCTCCAGCAACATTTCAGACACACCTGTGTTACTCTTGCATGATGTCTTCACTCTGACCCATCAGCACCACATGGGGAAAACCACAGCACTTCCCAAACACTTCCTCCTATAAATCGACAGGAAGACTTCATAATTAACATTATTCTAGCAAAGCTGAAATCAATCCAAAGGGGACTGTGCTTCGTAGCACAGTGTGCTCAGAAGCAGGTAACAGAAACTTTGCTGAGAGAAAATGCTTAGAAAGTAATGGAAGTACCACTCCATGCACAGACAGGACTTCTGCCCAGCCACAGGCAATGAATACAGAGCAGAGCAAAGCAGCATGCAGCCATCGGAAATATGGCCTGCAGGAGGCAGAGGCTCACGTGTGCCAGAGAGCATCCAGCTCCTCCATCCTGGTGAGTGTGTGCTGAAGCACCATTGTGCAAGGCCAGCATCTGGCATGCGCTCAAGCAAGGCACGCATCTACACTGCTGGGCACTGCTGGTCCTAATAGCCCAGAGCTCAAAAGTTCTCGTGAGCTGTCAGAAAAGCAGGCCCAGCGTGGAGCTGGGTGGCTCTTCTGGAACAAAGCCCAGCCTCTCTGTAGCTAACAACAAGCACAGGAGTCCCAGCTGTATCCCGAGCGCGGCTTTGGAGCAAAAACAAACTGGACTCTCCCTTCTGGTGCTGCTCTGGCATTCCGTTTGCTGTGTATAAGGAGAAGATCCAGAGCAGATTGCTTCTCTTAGTCAGAGATGGGGGAACATACCTCTGGAAAGAAGATGCGGTGGTAGGGGTGCTGTTTGTGGAGACAAACAACATCCAGGGTTGGTGCAGATGGCTGAGCAGGCCCATGGAGTTGTTCCAGGCATGAGGAAGCCGGGAGTTCACCATGAACTAGTCCGTTTGTGCTGCAAAAGCAGGCAGCTCTTTCTAGGAAGGGCTGATGAAAGATGCTTCTGGGACAGAGCTGGGGGTCTGAGGAGAGCAGAGTGACCTGGGGAAGGGCACAGCTGAACAACCCTGCTTTCTGCGTGTGTGCTTAACAAGATTTATGGGTAAGATGAAATGGAATGGAGCAGATAGATAGATAGATAGATAGGTGCACACAAAACAGTTGCTGGATTGAATATTTTAGGTCTTCTCTACAGTGAAAGAATTGAGTCAGACGGGGGGACACATTTTGAAAGTTCCCTTGCAAATATTTGGGCCAAAGACCTTGGCATCCAGTGGGCTTATCTCATATTCCCTTGCACGCAACAGCTGCTGGTAAAATCCAACGGTGCAGTGGGTTGTTGAAACGATGTTGAAGGCAATGCAGGGAAGAACATTAAAGCAGTGGGAAAAGCATTTGGCAGAAGCCACCTGCTTGGCCAGCGCTCAAGGATCGATGAGCCTAGACCGTTGTAGTGGAAATGCTGATTCCACGAGGTATCTGACTGTGAAGGCTGTATGGGAGCTGCTGAATCACAGCCTGAACCTCTGGTCGATCACCTGAGGCGAGCGCTGATCAGCCCTGGGAGCACAGTGAAGGCAATGCGCTGTGCTGCTGGGAGGGACGGAGCCTGGCTGCGCCTCTCCTGGACCCCATTGAAGAGCTGGCTGCCAGCGGGGAAGAGTCTCCTTTGGAGATCCCTCCTGTGCAGTGTTGCAGTGAGCCCAGGATGAGGGAGAGCCCTTTATCTATTCTTTTTGGTGTCATAACCTGCTTTGCCAAACTCTCTTGTGTATTTCCAAATTATAGCACCTGTATCATCATTGATCACACAGAAAACTAAAGAGATCAAATGAGAACGTAAGTCACAGAAAAGCATTCCAGCTCACTGCCCGATCACAACATTGTTTATTGGAAAAGTCACACAAAAACGTTTACTTATATTTTATGCAAATACAACAGTAAAAAATATTTATTTAAATTTCATTAAGGCATATGAAAATAAACATAATTATTTACATTTAATTAAGGCATATGTAAACAAATAATATATTTATTTATATTTAACTAAGGCATATGCCTTCAGAATTAACTTAGATCCGATGCAAATAAAAGCATATGCCTTCAGAATTAACTTAGACCGTATTAAATTAAAGGCATATGCCTTCAGAATTAACTTAGAACCTATATAATTAAGGCATATGCCTTCAGAGTTAACTTAGACCCTACATAACTAAGGCATATGCCATCAGAAATAAGTTAGGCCCAAAGAATTAAGGCATATGCCTTCAGAATTAAATTAGACCCTACATAATTAAGGCATATGTCTTGAGAATTAACTTAGATCCCATGGAATTAAGGCATATGCCTTCAGAATTAAATTAGATTCTACATAATTAAGGACTATACCTTCAGAATTAACTCAGATCCTATGGAATTAAAGGCATATGCCTTCACAATTAATTTAGACCTATGGAATTAAGGCATACGCCTTCACAATTAACTTAGATGCTACGGAATTAAGGCATATGCCTTCAGAATTAGATTAGATTCTTCATAATTAAGGCATATACCTTCAGAATTAACTTAGATCCCATGGAATTTAGACATATGCCTTCAAAATTAACTTAGATTCCACATTATTAAGGCATATACCATCAGAATTAACATAGAACCAATATAATTAAGGCATATGCCTTCAGAGTTATTTTAGACCCTCCATAATTAAGGCATATGCCTTCAGAATTAACGTAGATTCTATTGAATTAAGGTATATGTCTCCAGAATTAACTCAGATAGTATAGAATTAAAGGCATATGCCTTCAGAATTAACTCAGATCTTATGGAATTAAAGGCATATGCCATCAGAATTAACTTAAATGCAACACAATTAAGGCATATTCCCTCAGAATTAACTTAGATCCAATGCAATTAAGGCATATGCCTTCATAATTGACTTAGATACCACATAAAATAGGCATATGCCTTCAGAATTAACTCAGATCCTTTAGAATGAAGGTATATACCTTCAGAATTAACTTAGACCGTACATTATCAAGTAATATGCCATCATAATTAACTTAGATCCTACATCATTAAGGCATATTCGTTAAGAATTAACTTAGACCCCACATACTTAAGGCATATGCCCTCAGAATTAACATAGAACTTATATAATTAAAGCAAATGCCATCAGAATGAACTTGGACACTACATAATAAAGGCATATTCCTTCAGAATTAAATGAGATCCTTTGCAATTAAGGCATATACCTTCAGAATTAACTTAGATCCTATGGAATTAAAGCCATATAGCTTCAGAATAAAATTAGATCCTATGGATGAAGGCATATGCCTTCACAATTAACTTAGATGCGATGGTATTAAGGCATAAACCTTCAGAATTACCTGAGATCCTATTAAATTAAGGCAAATGCCTTCAGACTTAACTTACAACTTACGTAATTAAGGCACATGCCTTGAGAATAAACTGTGATCCCATGGAATTAAGGCATATGCCATCAGAATTAACTGAGACCCTACATAATTAAGGCATATGCCT